CCCAAGTGCGCCGGCGCCCGGCTGTCAGGCGTAAGCCTTTAAATATAAGGTTCCAATGGTGGGTCACTGAAAGCACTGAAATGCCACAAAGATGTGCAAAAAAAGGAGGCAGCTTGACCACTTCAACTGGGAGATCGTGGGCTTCTGTGTCAGCCTTCTTCACGCGTTCGCTGGATTCCTATGACTACGGGCGATGGCAAGGGCGAATGATGTCGTCTCGCGTCGATCCTTTCGTCCACTCTGTGGCCGGTCCACGTGTGGCAGCTTTTCCATGCCTTCAACGCGTCCCTCAAAGCGTCCCATCCTTTTGAGGTCCGTTCGTTCTCGTCAAACGCATCGACGCATCGGCGCATTCAGACGAACTCGCCAGCTGCGCGCAGGAGGGGCGGGGTGGCCGCGATGCAGGTTCTCTCGGCCTGTCGAAGCTCAAGTCAGCTGGACATCTTAGATGGGCTTAAGGAACTGGGAAACATATTTCCCCAAAGTGAGACCCACAGGGAAAATAAACAATCACCTTCCAGAGACGAAGTTTGCCTCTACGGCAGAGTTCATTTGTTGGACGATGCCACGGCAAAAGGATTGGGCAACAAATGTGCTGGGCCATCGCAAGCTCAACCAAAACTTGCTGTAGTGGAGATCCATTGATTGAAAAACAGAATCTGTTTCAAAATGGTTCAAGTGTATATGTTCAGGAAACATCGCAGCTGCTTGAAGACTTCATCACACAAACTGGTCCTCTAAATTAACGACAGGAACGAAGACCACGATGTAAACAAGTGGTACCTCCTCTGTTCCTTGCTGACATAGTATCACTTTTGCATGCAAATCATTCTAGGCCAAAACGGCAACATTCATGAACATTGTGAAGTTCGGTAATTGCGCAATCGCTTCCACTCGACTGCTTCAGTTCATCCCATCAAGGAACCAATAAAGAAGTCCAAGGACCTCATTGTCAGTTCTTTTTCACGAGACATGTGTATATCTTGGTGTTTCTTAGTGATATGATGTGATATGTATGTTTTGTTACTTTTCTTCTCCATCGCAGAAGTGCGAAATACCCTGATTGCAACATATTGCAACCACTCGTCATGCGTTGTCCCACAACCGCACCACCATCCGCTCGTCCGGCCTGGAGCGATCTTGCGAGGCCTCGCCAAGTCGAGTCGTCGAGTCGACATGGGGCTTTCGGAAGAGGCACGGCCGGAACTGGCCGGTTCTGAGGGCTGTTTTCCGCTGGGTGGAGGAACTCTAGGTTTCAGCTACTGCGTGCTAATGCCTTCTTCTTCTTCTTCTTCGTAAAATGATGTAACATATATATATCACCTCTGAACTCTGGAAGACAATGACGTCTTCGCGTCCCATTACAGAACTGTCGAACCAGCTTACAGTTCGATCTACTCTGATGACATCCCAATGAACCCCCATCTTACAGTTGGTCACGTTTCGCACGGTTTGACATGCTCTCACCCAAAACTCTGTTACCTTTCAGTAAACTTCTATATACATGTGTGGGTGGTTGGTTGGTTGGTTGGCTGGCTGGCTGGTTGTTGGTTGGTTTGTGTTTGTTGTGTGTGTGACCCTTGAAATCACAGGGATCCTTTTGGAATGTACTGCTTGCTTTTTTACTTCGGTTGACAGCAGCGGGGCGCAGCAAATGCACTGACTGCGCCTAACAAAGCTACCTTGCATCTGGGAAGCCAGGTCTGATCAACCTGGTGTACCTGCTTTTGAAAACCGAAGTATGGCAAAAGCTGTCCAACACGTTGTTTCTGCATTTTGTCGTGCTGCATAAAGGGCTAGTACATCGTGAGCTTTAGACTTGCACTTGGTGTTGGAGGCTTTGGAGGTGTCTTGCTCTCACCTGTTTTCAGTTACCTGGAACCTTAGGCAGTTTACTTAGGCTGGCGTGTGGCACCGCTGTCAAGTCAGTACGCATAATCATAAGTGTGTCTCTCCTAGTGAGAGCCCAGGGTGACCCCGAAGAGTGGCATCTGTGGACCCGTCGAACGGGTGTTAGTCTTTATCTCCCCTGCCCGGAGATGTACGTGCCCAGAGCGGGCGAAGGTGGCCTAGGCCGAGAGAAGTCAGATTTCTGTCGAATTCTTGAATTCCAAGCTGGCTTATGCCTTTACGTGACCGCAGCGGTCCAAGCAGGCTTAACGCCACCACGTGGTCAGAGCGACCGAAGCCTTTTTCGGGTCCGTTGGGACCCGCGGCCACCTCAGGTGCACACACGCAGCACGTACATTTTCAACGAGGTTTGCATAGGTTTTCCAATGATGTGTGGCTTCATCGGTTCTCGTCCCCTCCATTTGGTTCCCCTTTTCATCCTTTCCCCCTTTACATACATATGTTTTCTTCTTTTCTTTCATGTCCTCCTGTCTTCATGTCTGGTCATCTCATCCTTTCTTTCGTTTGCACGCGCATTTGTCCCGGCCTTAGTGTGTACGTGCACAGCCTACTTCACAACCTAGGCTTTAGGTCGCCCAGGTCTTAATAATGAGACGGGTTTTCATTGGTTGTCCCTGCGCACCCGACTCTCTTTCATCGCAGCCGCACACACCTTTGTCCCGTCTGGTCCCTTTTCATGTCTTCATTCTTTTGTCTTGTTGCGTGCGCACTTACACCTTGCCTTGACCTTAGCGCTTCTCGCCTCCCCTCGGGGGGGCGTGTGTGTGTGTGTTCCCTTGAAATCAAAGGGATCCTTTTGGAATGTGCTGCTTGCTTTTTTACTTCGGTTGACAGCAGGGGGGCGCAGCAGATGCACTGACTGCGCCTAACAAAGCTACCTTGCATCTGGGAAGCCAGGTCTGACCAACCTGGTGTACCTGCTTTTGAAAACCTAAGTATGCCAAAAGCTGTCCAACACGTTGTTTCTGCATTTTGTCGTGCTGCATAAAGGGCTAGTACATCGTGAGCTTTGGACTTGCACTTGGTGTTGGAGGCTTTGGAGGTGTCTTGCTCTTACCTGTTTTCAGTTACCTGGAACCTTAGGCAGTTTACTTAGGCTGGCGTGTGGCACCGCTGTCGAGTCAGTACGCATAATCATAAGTTTGTGTGTTTGTTGTTTAATGCACGCATATTATAAATGCCCCATGATCCATAGACATGGCACCATCATCTGGTCTGGTGCGACCGTTCCACACCCCGGGAGGTGAGGCGATCGGCAGACCGTTTGGACACTGAGAAAGATCGCACACGAAATCGACACCCTGTCGAGCTGAAACAGAAAACCCTCATCTCCCACCCCAGCAATTACTTGAGTCACTGACGAGCAAAACTCCTGTCAACCCAGGATTCCTCTCGCGCCTGCCAGGCATCAGCGACCATCAGCTTGGCCTTTGACAGAAGTTGAGTTCCGGGTCCCAAATCTGGACAACCTTCAACAGTCAGCTTGTCTGCCCACTTGCTCTGATCCACCACTGGACCCGAAGCATTTGGACCTCTACGACTCGAACGTGGAAACCGCCTGTTTGGCCCATCCAAACGACCGCCATCCAAACGACGGCACGTCTCTTTCCTTCGGGGCTGAGAGGCCGTCGGACGTCCGGCCTCCATCCTGTCAATGATGATCTGAGAGGCCATCACTGCCTGACGAGGCCATACTCGAGACGCGACCCCGGGAGCCGCGTCGGCGTCGACCGGTGCTCAAGCTCGCTGTTCGACTCTGCATGATACTGGCACACTGGGAACAGCAAAAATGCGACACTGGAGACCGTCCAGAAGGTATTCAAAGAAAACATGTTCTCTGGAACCAGTTACACTAGCATCGACGCCAAATAGCAGCAGTTTAATGTTTCCATGCAACAAATTGAGAACATTTGAGAAACCCTTGTCAAGGAGTCAGGCTCTTTGGGGAAAAATCCTGTCTTGTCACTTACAAAACCACTCAACAAAAAGCCCTTTTGAGCGGCCGGTCTTTGAGCGGTGTCGGATTGGAACTGGACCTGGGCGTCCAAGACACCGGCCAATGGACAGCTCTACCGAGATGAACAACTCAACCTTAAGAACAAATTGTTCAATCCCTAGGGCTCCAACTACCTCCTGAGAAGGTGGTTAGGGTGGATTTTTGGCGTCTAATCTCTGAGAGGATGGCTGCAGCAAAAGAGGAATATGAACAAAGTGAAGAGTGCGTCGGCACAGGGGGCCGCTAAATCTGTGGTCCCAGTTGACCCGGTTGACCCAGTTGACCCAATTGACCTCAACTGGGTCAACTGGGTCCAGAGATTTAGCGTGGCCGCCTGGTCAAGTCGACCACTCCGACCACTACCCTGCTACATCCTGCTACTACTGCGCGTCAACTGGGTCCGCAGATTTAGCGTGCCCTCCTGGTCAATTCGACCACCACGACTACTACTGCTACTACTACGTGTCAACTGGGTCAAGTGGGTCCAGAGATATAGCGCGGCCCGGGTCAACCGCGCCAACTAACCATCAGTTCAACTGGGTCAACTGGGTCCACCACCACTACTATCACCACTACCACTACTGCTTATGGGTCAACTTGGGTCCACTGGGTTCAAGGTCTGGCAACGACTATACTGAGTATGCTCGATCAAAGATGAATCCCTACTAGTGCTAGGTGTAAAATAAGACAGTCTCAACACCAGGGTTCCCGTGTTGAGCTTGGACAAAACCTTGTTTTTATCAAGTTCATCGGTTTTGTACTTCCATTGGGCACCCCACGTGAAGCAGGCGTAGCCACTGCATGGACAAACGGCCGTCAAAAGAATGGCCAACGAATGGCATGCGTGGAGCTAAATTTCAAGTTGTAACGATGATCTGGACCTTTCAGACAGGGGAAGTTTCAATCACCAATTATCCCCTTTCGTGCGAACTGCTGCGGATTTGGAAGTGTTTTTCTTCTGCAAAATAAATCTAAATAGCTTCTTGTTACTACTAGTAAGGCACTTGTTACTACTAGCGAGGCACTTGTAATTACAAAATCTTTTCCAGGTCACAGTCAGAGTCAGAGTTCGGTTTCTGTGAGGATCCCGTGGTCGACTTGTGGATCTTTTCCAGGCCCAAAGCAGGGATCAGGTGCTTCGTGTTCGATCGTCACAGTCTATCCACCAAACCACAGACAACTAAGTCAACTCATCCATAGAATCCTGGAACCTGAGTAAGTGACCTGTACTTTAGATCAACACCAACCATCCTCATCTGTGGCAACATGGAGCTATAAAGACATGATCTAATCAATGGAAACCAATCTCAACATCAGACATTCCGTGTAGAGCTTGATTCGGAACCTTACTTGTTCAAGTTCAACAACGGTCTCCATCACAACCTCGGTTGATCCAGCTTGATCCACTTCAGAAGCCAACAGTTGGGGACCGCTTCTTCCTGCGGGTCAAGAGATAGCTCTAGATCTATCGACGACCTGTGAGCAAGCGAGTTGGTGATGTAAAGCTAGTAAAAGAAAGCTAGAAACCAATATCACCACAAAACATTTTGTGTTGAGCTTGGTTGGGACTCCCTCTTCCATCGAGTCGACCATGGCCGCATAAACAACATTGACACATAGAAATACATAGTCTAACCATTGGAAACCAAGCTCAACGCCAGGTGTCCCGTGTTGAGGTTGGTTTAAGACTTTTCCTGAGCCAGTTGAGACACTGCTTCCATCAGAACCTCGGTAGAAAACAAGCGCATAAACAACAATAATGAGTTGTGAAAACACAATCTAACACATAGAAGCCACACACTCCACACCAGGCATCCCATGTTGAGGTTGATTGGTGATCTTTCCTGATCCAGTTCAAACAATGCCTCTATCACAACCTGGTAGTAGCAGTGGACCCAGTAGACCCCAGTTGCTCTAGATCGCCCCAAGTTGACCCAGTTCACCCCAGTTGACCCAAGTAGTAGAAGTAGTAGTAGTGGTGGCAGTAGTAGTAGTGGTGGTGGCGGTGGACCGGTGGCCACGCTAAATCTCCGGACCCAGTTGACCCGGTTGACCCAGTTGACCTCAACTGGGTCCGAAGATTTAACGTGGCCCCCTGTGCGGTCGCAATGAAAGTGAATGGCTGATCCATGGTTCATCAAAACTGCTCTATTTAGTTCCAGTCGCCTCTGCTCAACACATCTGTTTGAGTGGCTCTTCGCGCATTTCTCAACTACGTTCAGATTCTCTGTAGTTCAAAAACATCATCAACTGGACAGTAAGAACCGGTTGTACCTCCACATGACTCCCACAAGCCCTCCTTCCAGCCCTCCTTCCTCCCCACGGCACCCCAAAGCAGCGCCTGGTGCGAGGCCCGCAGGCGTTCGCCCAGGTGGGATGCCTCCAGGCGTGCTGCTGCAGAAGCTTTGAGGCCTTGGAGCGACCAGACTGGCCTAAAAGGAACCTAATAGGGATAGCCTCCACCCTACTATCGATGGACTCCAACTACCTAGTAGCGATGGCCTCCAACCTAATAGTGATGGCCAAACATGGTGAAACAATGTGAAGCATGCTAATCCTCTACTGTACTTGATGCTTTGGACTGATTAGGATGATCACTTCATAGGATGGTCCCTTATAATAAGATTGAAAGGTCAAGTTGCAAACGTTTCATTCCCTCAGAGGCACTACAGATGTCCTTCTGGCATGGCTTTGACCAAACAAGTTTGATATTAGATATGTGTTGATCCTTTTCATGCCCGTCCTTTGCAGTACCAGCAGTCAACCGCCCTGCGTTTTTCTATGCTTTTCCAGCTTCCATGTAAGCGCAAATATAGTATATAAACGAACTGGCTCGAATACACGGATGCTCGAATACACGGTATGGGAGCTCTTTGCACAGCTCCTTTGCACAGCTTGTATTTCCATGTCTCTCCCGGAAATCCTTTCAGCCACAGAACGACCATAGGTCTTCGTCATCGTGATGTCTCTACATCTCCTATTTCGACACCAACGCGCCGGAGACGACCCTCGATCCAAGAGGCTTGGAGGTCTCAGGAAGTCTTGCGCCGCATGGAGCGCTGGCAACTGCGTGAGACCGCGCGGCCTCGAGTGCAGGCCCCAGTGGCCGTCTGAATACGGCGCCAAGACTAGTAACAAGAAGCTACTAGGAACAAGGACGCTATTAGGTGGAGGCCATCACTACTAGTAACAAGACGCTAGTAGTGCCAATGAGTTTGTTTTCCTTTTCCTTCTCGTGTCTGATGCATGTTCCAATGAGTGTGGCTGATTTCTGGTGCACCCCCCTCGGGAAGCTTTCACTTGAATGCTAGTGGAAGCCGTACTTCGCGTTGGGCTAAGGATGCCAAACGCTTGGTACCAGTGGCGTTCGCGCGCTCCCAGTGGTGTTTAGTAAATGTGCCTCTCTTTCAAAGTACGTGTTCAATGATCTGAGAGCATTCGCCAACATCCTTATCATTGTATTTTTTCAAGAGCTTCCCTCCAGCATAATACTAAACACACACACACAATGGAACACCAGCGGCTCCAGCGCCTTCTTCCATGTTTTGCTCGTTGACATGAACAGACCGAGCAGCTAGGACCTGAGGGAAACTGTCCTGCGACTTCTGAACTAAAGGCGTCATATCTAAAACATCCTCCATTTTTAAGACACCCCCCAAATCTCTGCCAAGTTGCTGGCACACCTTCCGCGGCTGAGGAATTTTGTCCCAGTGAAGCAAGGCAGGATGCATTGTGCCAAACACCAAGTTGTCTTCTGTTCAGCTTTCAGTGCTCTTTGCTGTTGGTTTGCTGTGACAGGCTGTTCGTGTCGGTGTTTGACTTTGCCATTGTTTCTTTTATTGCTTCCTCTTTCTCCCGGTTCTTGAAATCAACTGGGCTCGTCAATCCCCGCGGCTCGGGGAAGATATTAATATGCCCCGGTGATGTGCGATGGGGCGATGTTCTGTACTATATATAGATAGAAACAGTAGATGCTGCAGGTAGACGCCTGGGACGCATGCCGTAGCCTTCTGTACTACATCTGAGTGATTCCTCTCATGACGCTCGCAGCCTTTCGGTCCAGCGCAGCGGTTCGGCGTTTCGGTCCGAAGTGTTTCAAACTCCAGATCGGCGCAATGGTGGAGTCCTTGGGGCTCAACCTGGCCATCTTGCTGCCTTTTTGGGGCCTATGGACATGAGGTAGAGAATAGAATATGATTCCAATGTGGTTTCACTATGTGTGCCCCATGAACAACCATCAACCAACTGCCCTCAACAGTCTTCACTTCTGCATGCTCTGTTGGAGAACCGGCTCTGCTGGGCAAACCTGCTCTGCAGCACCATCTGAGAACCCCCGTCACTGTCCCCATCTGTTGGGGGTCTGAGGCTAGTGACCGTTGGACAACGTTTAGCAGCGACTTTGTCTGAAAAGGACCCGAAAACACAGAGACTTTGCTTCGAAGAATTGTTTCTGCATGTTTCTGTCCTGCATTCTCTGAATGCACATGTATCTCTCAAAGACCATTGACAGTACCATTGACATGTTGTTTCTATTGTGCCTCATCGCGGCGACAGGACCCTTCAAGAAACACCTGGAGTGATCACCGGCACCAACATCTGGCTGGTTGGATCAGGGCAAGGTTGGTATGAGTCAAATCTGAGTCAAACATGACAATGTTTTTTTTTTTTTTTACCACATGTCACGTTCGTTCTTGCCGAAACCTGGAGATAAACATTCATCGAATCCGATGCTCCACACTTTTCGCTAGTCTGAGCCGCTGGGAGACTCGGACCTCGAATCAAAGCGTCCGAACGCAGCGCGGGACGCAACGCCGGACGTGACGTGGGTCGAAGTGGTGCAAAAGGGCTCGGTCCGCGGCTGCGCGATGGGCTTCCGCTGCTGGGATGACAGCATCCCGGTCATGTCGATGATGGTGAGCTGGCCACTTGAGGAAACGGCACGACCCCAGAGAGTCTTTGACCAAACAAAACATGCACAATGATCCACAAAGAACTACTTAAAACACACTAAAAAAACATCATCCTTGTTTCTTAACAAGAGATATAAGCTCATGTTCCATGAGCGTCCCAGTGGAAACCGATCCCAGATCGCACCTGGAGCTTTGCCAAGCCGATGAACGTCCCCCGCCACGCCGGATCCTGTGGGTCCTGACGAAGCAGGAACGATGCCGGGATCTCTTCGCCTCGCGGAACGAGCCGTTTTTTTCAGTCCTTCCAAAGCAGTTCATCGAGCTGTTCATCGAACTTCAGCAAAGCCACCGCGTTCCGGAAACACATCTTATCATATTCAGTTGGACATGGAATTTCTTATCCAAAAAAGAGGCCATGACTTGAAACCTGGAGATGAACATGTATGATTTGGGCCACGAACTGGCAAGTAGAAACATCTACTTGCTACCCATGCTTCAGTCCAATCCCCAGTGTCCATGATGAGTTCATTTGTATCATGGACAAATCATTTGTATCCATGCTTCAATCATTTGTATCATGAGATGCTTCATGATTCGTATCCATGCTTCGTCTCGTCGAAGTAACTGTCCTCCGGATTGAAGGTCCCAAAGCTCGTGGGACTCCGTCCGGCGGCGAACGAGGAACGGCTTCGAGTCGAAATCCGATTCTGACCGAACTGCAGGGCAATGGACTGGGGCGTTCTGGAGGGTGGATGCAACTTGCCGGCCAATTGGGAGGGGGAGAGAGGAAAAACGATGCAGCAGCTTGGACAACACCGTGGTTAGCAGTTGCTTGGAACTTTGGGAGAAGTTCAGGAGCTCAAAAACTATTCTGTTATTGGAAAAACACACACACACACAATGGAATCATAGGGGGTTCTCCGCATGATTAATGTTTCTCATCACCGCATGACGGTGTCGAAAAGGCCTAGGTGGATGCCAAAAGGGTTTTCCGTACATGCACAGGAAGCTCCGAGGTCGAGGTCGATCGTAGTGAGGAAGCTCGAGGAAGCTCCGAGGTCGAGCCCGCCAAATCCCGCCCATACCCTTCATGACCGGTCACTCGTGAATGACTGGTGTCACCTTTTGAATATGAAAAACCAAACCTGTACAGGTCTGCGAGCCCTGGACCGCTCTTATTATACAGTAAACATGGATCAACGTCATTTCTGTCCACTAATGGAAAGGACTATTCGATGGATCATGAGTCAAAACCGAAGCGAATTGTCAGCTAACACTGTGATTAACATATAGGCCGCCAGCACAGGACCAAACTGTGATACTGTGAGAACCAATCGTGAGTGTTCACAAGACCAAACTGTGATAAAATCTAGTCAACATCTTGGGTCTTTCCTATTACCAGTAACAGTGGATGATGATGGTTAGTAAAGGCCTTGTTAACAAATAAACATAGTGATAATTGTTTATTGACTGTTACCGGTAATAGGACAGGCCCAATGAACATCACAGAACACCCACCCACCGCATTCAATCTCATGTATATGGTCAGGTTCATCTGCACCTTGGATCGCTGCTCAATCCACAGGCCCGACCAAAAATCACATGTCCACTATCCACAGCCCCGCAAACTGAGCTGCAGGCTGCGAGGTCGGGGACGCCTGCAGAATGACTTTGGCAAATCAAAACCATTTCAATGTTCCTGGGATGCGTCAAAAAGGTTTCCAAGAGTATAAAGTGCTTCCGCTGTGAAGGGGAGGGCTAATAGAAAATTCATGAAAATTCAACTATCAGTGAAGACTTGTACTGCTGTTTTCATTGTTTTCAGGCATCTTGGTATCATCGTTTCTTCCTGATCTAGCCGTCTTAATTGGACTCTGAAAAGAGGAAGGAGAGGACACAAAAAGCTAACCTGCAAGGTCATGGCTTCCTTGGAACTGGAGTCGTGGGTCATGCCTCCAAAATATCCACAAATCCCACCTTCCTCGAGCGCCAAACGCTGCCCGACAAACCAGAACCTTCCTCCAGGTGGTGTTGATTCACACAGGTCAAAGCAATGGGCCACAAAGCTCACCTGGTGTCCACCTTTCAACCGCTTGGTTCCACGACCGCTCGTGCTCGCGCGGGAAAACCCCCTCACCCCGGCGGCCGCCTCGGAATCGGAGCCTCCGTCATCCTGGCGACGGCGGATGAGATTCAGTCATGGGCGCGTTTGGTACTTCCTCTTGGGCATAGTGAATTCTGCCAGCAATGACACATACTTGTGATTCTGAACGGATCTTCGAATTACTGCATCTCGTTCATGTCTGACGTGCTTAGATTCAATGGGCTGAAAGTAACATCAAGTACCTTGGTGCAATGCAGGGCTCCCTAGATCTTTCCACTACTGGAACTTGAGAGCGTCCTCATCCGCTTGTGGGAGCAGAAACTGCACCCGCTTCAATTCGACACGCGCTGTGTTCATGCTTTTCAGGCAGGGGAAATGGAAGGATCTGCGAATTAGTCCATTGAATCCTCAATGACATTCGAATTAGTACAGTACGTAGCGCAAATTCGACCGCATCCAAACTCCATTGGACAACCACATGACATGAGGGTAGCTGCGACCTTTCCTCTCCATCTCGGCTGACTTGTGCAAGAAGTTTTACGAATGAACCCCCAACCGGCCTCACCAGGGTCCCAATCATCCGACCGAACAGGTCCATGGCATGTCAATGACCACCCACCAATCATCACATGCCAGGGTCTCAGCGGTCTCAGGCGCCACCCCAAGTCCCATGACCGCCAACAGCACCGAACTGCACGGATGACTTGCCTAAACTTGAAGCTACAACTGCGTCCCTTCTGCGAAGCGAAGCGACGCGCCCCTCCGAACATGAAACGACAGGAACCCAAGCCCTACCACCGCACTGGTCAGCCGACGCCTCGCTGGATGCGAAGAGCTCCACCTCCACCCCTTGGGCGCCTTGGGTGATAAGACATGCAAAGGACTGTCGAGTCTTGATGAATTGACCCTCGAAATCATATGAAGGGCGGTGGTTCAATCCAAACGGGCTGTTAATCAAGACACACAAATAAAGGAGAACGTTGAAGAAGCTATCCTGTTCACAACCCCAGGGCCCCAGTGTTTCTTGGCCAAAGCCTATCAAGATCTCTAAGCTTTTGCAGCTTGCAACCGAGTTTCCGATGACGTGCTTGCAAGACAAACCATTCTCTAAGCAATGGACCATTGGTTTCTGACACACGCCAGGCATGGATTTGAACATGCCAGAAGCTAGCTTTCTCTGAACGGGGCAGGCCATAAGTCCAGCATAGTCCAGCCATAAGTCCAGCGGCGCTCCGATCTGAGTCCCTCGCCACACGCCCCATGTCTCTCCATGAATTGCAACAAATCGATACGGCCTGCCGCTGTGCTGAAGAAAACGGCTGTGCTCAACGGTCAACATCCCGACAGTGGATGAGAGCACAGCAGTGCCGAGTGCCGAGGGTCCCGGTGACGGAAGTTTCGTTTCACTTTCCCACCCGAAACGAGAAGGTTTCACGCGAGGTGCAGCGTACTAAGACTCAATATGACTCAACCAACAACAAACGAAAAACATGAATTCGCGCATGATTCACCACGCACAATTCATCAGAATGCAACCCAGAACAGCTCAAGTCTCCCCAAATGGTTCGATTCAACATGTGCTCAACGCAAATTGGCCTCCCCTGCAGCAATGAGCTGGAATCTTCACGCATGGAGGGCCCCGTGAACAACAAGAGGGCGCCAGTGAGCACGTGAGCTCATCGGCTGCGGGTCCAAACGAACTCCGCCAAATGCCACCACGAACTCCGCATGGTCTCGAACAGAGCTGCACCCCACACCCGGCTGTGTGAGTTGCCACGGGCATGCCGACTGCTTGCGGAACCCGGTGAGTGGCACTCAACGGAAAGGGCAAAGTGGCACAAAGTAGCACAAAGGCGGCAACAGCCACATGTCTGCTGGATGAACTACCCAACCACAAGTCGACCGTCGACATCCGGCGGATTTCTCCCATCCCAACCACCATCTATCTTCCGGACAAAACTCGTGAGGTGCAGAAACAGCCAACTCTTCTTCAAACGTTCACATCACCGGGCGTTTTTGCGAGGCCTTCACCAGCCAATTGCTTAAAACCAATCAGGTCCCAGTCGTAGACCCGACACCAGAGCCATCGCTCCTGGCGGCGAAGCGCGTAGCGAAGCACACGTTTGGGGTGGCCGATCCCGAACAAATCTCCACAACACCGGCACCAAATCCGTGACATGGCTACTAGATATGGCTAGATGGTGCCGACCGGTCTGACGTGTTGATCTTGCATTGACGTTAACCTTGATCGCCTGTGGTTTGGGGAACTTTGGGACCGACATGGACCGACCACCGAGGACCGGACGACCGGACCAATGACTCATGACCCTTTGGACATAAATGCTTCTGCTTGTCAAAGACCTTTCAATCCGTCATTGTGAGTGAAACGTTTTTAAGGTGTGTTTAAAGAGCCGGCTGATGTCCCTCCATTGCGAGGAACCAACCTAATTACACAGAAATCAAAGAAAAAAGCAAAGACTTGCTATTTTCAGTGCATACTGTCAGGCTCAAGCGCACTTACTGTAGATACATACAATTGAGAGACATGTGCTGCTCATATACAGGTTTGGTGTACAATTTAGGAAGCGATTAAACCCATGCACGCGGTGCTTCCCGCCCACTGAAGTCCTGCGCATCCCACAGCAATTCCTTCCTCTCTGGTGGATTCCAGCCTCGATGAAACAGCGATCATCCAACTCACCGTAGGGGCCGGGCCCCTGCACATCTGGCCACCAACAATCGACAGAAAGAACGATGGTGGGCCAGGCCAGGATGGGTCAACATTGTTCCCGGATCTAAGGCTGGTACCTCAAGGTTTGGCGAGGGTAGCTAGTAGCTGTTCCAAGTCCAAAAAAGCACACTACCCGCTACCCTACCTGGCCCGTCCTCCACGTCGAATGACCGTGGCTGGTCGGTCTCAGCTTCTCACTGGCCTTCTCTGAACCTCTTCTTGAGGAGGTCCCATCCGTGGTCACCGACCTCACGGTCCGCGGTCATCGCATCGGAGGGGACCTCCGGTGGTCCAATCACCGTCGTCTTGACGGTCATATCGCCCTCAACACCGTGCAATCTTGAAGGAATCAGTATGTTCACGGATGTTCATTCGCAAACGCGGTCAGTGTGAATTCTCCTAGGTTTTGAAGCTGACCTGTTAGATTCAATTCAAGGTGGGCCAATCCACGCCACATCTTTCTGAGGAATGCAGGATTTGGTGTCCGCAAAGGCAGGCAGTGCAAGAAGGTTAATCAGGGTGTAAATATCAACAACTGTCCCTGTTCATTCAAATATTTTAATATCATGATCTGACTTTGCCTTTCAGGATCCGCCCACCTAGACCTGAAGATTCCGAATTCATGGTATGATCACGTGTCTCAAGTAGGGTGCTCTGATACTTGCTGGTGGAAATTCAAGCGCGGCCCAGGATGTCTGGACTAACCCAACTCAGGGAGAGGTTTCGTATGTTTCGTTTCGAGGTAAGGTTTGGGTCTTTGCACATCTCCTGAGATCTCCTGAGCTGAGGGCATGACCCTAGGCTCAAGACCACTGAGAGCGACAAAAAGAACCGCCTGGGGGGTGTTGTCTCACTTCACAAAGGCAGGAAATGTTTGACAATGGCAGAGTATGTGGTAGTTGCTCATACTAACTGAACTCGTACTAGGCCGCATCAGATTCTGAAGTCAATTCTGTTTCCTGATGCATCGCTTCTGACCTGAAATGTCCCAAAGAAGGACGCTTCACACGACAATCCCGTTACAATCCTCACATCTCTGCTAGCGCTGAACACACCGCAAATCACCTGACTCCACTACTTCAGGAGGCTTCGACACTGGCTTCAACCTCCGGCTTCGCACGCCGCACCACACACCCTCACCCGCTAGCCGCTAGCGATGCGGCCCGAGCATTCGCAGATCTTGAGCCCGTTCGACCTCCGTCCGCTCGCATGGGACCGGTCCCCGGGCCAAAAACCACTTGTATACCAGGGCCCCCGTTTCGGGCCTAAGGGGTGGTTAACGGACATCCCTTAAGCCTTAACTTCTAAGGAACTATAATTGGACATCCCCTATAGGGGGTCCTGGTACAGAACCATGTGCTGCCAAAATAAAGTGTTTCTTTGAGGAAGGAAAACCATGAAAAAACACATTTAAAGAACTGAAGTCAAAACATTCGAGGAATCATGGCATCTGCCTGGACCTGGAAGTCATTAGCAGCTGAGAGGAAGACTCCATGGTGCCCCCGTAGACGCACAGGACAGGGTGTCAGCTTATGATCAAGACTTATGAAGATCTTCTTTACACTATATAATGGTCAAAAGGAGGTATCTTCAAAAGCTATGGATGACATCTGGCACCACGCCAGATGTTCTAAGATTCTTCCAATGGGTCGGAGACCCTCCAGGGTCGGACCCAGTCGGACCGGGCGCTCCGCGCGCCGATGTCCACACTGGCGATGTCCACCATGACCAAACCTGGCATCGCCCAGTCAGCACCGCCCAGAGTGCCCCAGTCAGCTGGAGACCGGACGTCCGTGCCATGTCGATCGGTTTCCGAAGATACACGCAGCAATGCTCCATTCAGAAATTCTCCGTGGGTAAAGCCCAAAGTATGCAGAGATTGGAGGCCACGGCAAGCAAACACTGTATGTTGGAACACAGATCTCAGGTTCCATATCTATTGAAAAGAGTTTATTCATTCACGATATAACATGCAAAGATGGAGTTCAGTCTCGAGCAACGACGGGCTGGCTGTACGACGGGCGAGCGCACGGGCCGACACGAAAAACCTTGGTTTTGTCTCGTGAATCGCCTTGTTTTGTCTTTCCTTATTCCCCAATTGCCATGCTATGGGGTCTTGCAAAAATAATAGGCGGACGGGCGCCGCCGGGGCACCGTCAGAGCTGGTGGGCGGATGGTGTCCCAGTCATGTTTTGATGGCGTCCGGGTCATGTGATGCTGGTGTCCCGGTGTCCCGTTTTGATGGTGTCCCGGTCATGTTTTGATGGTGTCCCGGTCATGTTGTGATGGTGTCCCGGTCATGTTTTGAAGGTGTCCCGGTCATGTTGTGATGGTGTCCCGGTCATTGTGTGATGGTGTCCCGGGCATGTTTTGATGGTGTCCCGGTCGTGTTGTGACGGTGTCCCGGTCATGTTTTGATGGTGTCCCGATCATGTGATGGTGGCGCGGTCATGTTGTGATGGTGTCCCGATCATGTTTTGATTGTGTCCCAGACATGTTGTGATGGTGTCCCGGTCGTGTTTTGATGGTGTCCCGGTCATGTTGTGATTGTGTCCCAGTCATGTTGTGACGGTGTCCCAGTCATGTTGTGATGGTGTCTCGCTCATGTTGTGACGGTGTCCCGGTCATGTTTTGATGGTGTCCTGGTCATGTTGTGATGGTGTCCTGGTCATGTTTTGGCGGTGTGCCGGTTATGTTTTGATGGTGTCCGGGTCATGTGACGGTGTCCCGGTCATGTTGTGATAGTGTCCCGGTCATGTTGTGATGGTGTCCCCGTCATGCCATGCTGGTGTCCCGGTCACCTTGTGATGGTGTCCCGCATATGTTGTGATGGTGTCCCAATCATGTTGTGACGGTGTCTCGGTCATGTTTTGATGGTGCCCTGGTCATTTTGTGATGGTGTCCCGGTTATGTGATGATGGTGTCCAAGGAAGAGATGGTCGATGTTGAAAACAGCAGCTGTTTCCAGATTTTTCTTTTTGTCCCGGTTTGTATCTTGCTATTGGGGTCTCCAGCTGGGCTAATTTCCTGCCAAAAAACTCATTATTTTCGCACGTTATGTTTTCTTTTTTCGTTTTCCTTATTTCCAGCATGTTTGAAAAAACACATGATTCAGGCCCATGGTCATTTCTGTTTTCCATCCATGCTTATTTCCCCACACACACACACAGCCTTAAGTGCCAATGCGATTCTTTTCAACCTGAATTACAGAATTTGACAGTCTCCACACAAGTTAAATGACTCTCCAAAGCTTTGCATCCCCAATCCAAACAGTCAACCAAATCGCACGAGCACTGTCCACCGTGCTCGTTCACGGACGGTGCTCTCCGTCGTTCGTCCACGTCTCCTTCCGCATTGTCCGGCGCCTTGATGACACGTGGTGCCCAAGTGGCAGCTCAACTGAGCGAATCAACAGATCAACATGCTGCCATGAGCAGCTGATTGGTGGAAACGCCTACCATCTGAGCAACGTGCGTGATCATGTGTTGCTACACCTTTGCCATCCGGTGCCTACGTTTGCATCGATGCCAAAGCCGTCCCACGAAGAAAAGCCTGTTCTTCTCGCAAGACTGTTTGACACTGTTTGACTTGAACAGTCCGGATCAGTCCGGCACATCATCTAAGTCCAAACCCATCGAACTGTCTGCCTTTTCAGCTCCCCAAATCTGTCGCCGGTCCCCTCGTGGTCGGTCTCCCCGGGCCTCACGATGCAAGTTCAGGCTCCTTCCAAAGCCGGCGGCCGAGCAAGAGCGTGCTGCAAGTCGAGGACACATCGTGCTCATGCAAGAATGCCGGAAGTGATGCCAGTCGTGATGCTGTTTGTGAGTGGCACCAGAATACCTTGGCTGACCCGACCTGGAAGATACGTCGTTCGCACCGCATGGTGGACTGGACGACCCATCCAGGTTTGAACGACCCATCCCCAATCGTTCCCCATTCCGACCCCTTCCGACCCCTTTCGCGCGCTGTCCCACTCAAAGCGATGGGAAAAGGTCCGCTTTCTTCTTTGCCGAGGTGGGCTTCGTTCTTAATCAGTTTGGAGTGGAGTCTCACAGTCTATCTCACTATTCAAAGGACTGGTGATGGTCTGGAATGGTTTGGAGTGGAGTCTCACGCTTCTATGATGTCCGTCTCACCGATGCATGCGCCCGCCACCTACTTGACAGTGGGGTCAAAGGAGGAGCCGAGGAGCTATAAGACCAACACCTGTTCTGTACCATCCTATAAATTTGTTTATTCTCTGGTGATTGGGCCCGGGGAATGTGAATGGGATGCACCTGCCGAAATCCGCTCCTTTCAGGCACCACCGCCTGGTGAAGGACGGACGCTTGGACAAGGATCCTCTATATAAATGAACAATCCTGATAGATCAACGCTGCCCTTGCGGCTTAGCTCCGGATCTTGATCAAACGCATTCCAGGATTTTGCAGGGCGGCTTTAGCGTCCTTTCCGACAAATAGGTACCATGATCACAAAATCTGTCCCCATGGCGAGTACATTACAGATTGTTATCCGCACACTTTGATCCCACTTCCATCACATATCTAAGGGACCGCCATCGCCTGCCAGTCTCTCTACTCATCATTCGTGATGTGGGGAAGCCTGTTTCTGTGAACCTTAGCTGCCTTCGCTGAGACGCAGGATCGATCCTGCTATCTCCCCATCATGCCGAACTGTGGCACACAGCTCTCATGCCAAAAAAAGATCCATCTTCCAAAACCCTGTCAAGCGTTGAAGCCAAGTGTCCCTCTGCAGCCCATGAACTCCCAACAAAAGTTATAGACTGTTATAAATATAAAGAAGCTCAGGGGTGTGATGATGTGTCGACATCTACAGAATGATATAACGAATCATTAAATATATCTAAAAGATGTGGCCAAAGGACCTCTTTTCCTCGTAACATCACTGCCCGGACGCCGGATGCACCTTGAGGCCCTCGCCCTCACTTGGAGAGCCACCTAGAAGTAGTCGGAGAAGCCAGTGTGGTGCGAACGAGGTGCTCAACGGACAAGCAAAACAACCACCTGCAAGCTTTTTGCCCTATGAAGCCCCACAGCTGGAGTGAAACTCTTTAGATTTCAGTGCTGGGGGATGACCTCAGAATATTTTTCCGAAGTCACTTAGGATCGATTTAGGAACCTCTGCGTGTTGCCTTTCTCTATGTTGCCAGCTCTTCCCAGCCCCGACCTGCTTGGGCTGCTCCAAGGGACTTCGGGTGGTACCCATTCAGCCTTGGCGATTCGGCTGGAGTTTCACTTACCGTTGGGAGTGTTGGGATAGCACTGCCGTCAAATCAGTTCGTCTCTGCACACTTCATCGGTTCAGTGTGCGCTCACACACTCGATGAACGAATTGGAACGGCGGGGGAACCCCACGTCTTTCGGCCCCACCTCGTGTCCAGCGGTGCCTTCTCTGCGTACCTGACGACGGGTACGAAAACACGGGGCCAAGTGGCGACCCCCCTTGGCAGGTTGACCTCCCTAGTAGTCTATTCTGTTCATCTTCGGTGGCGTTGCCCCACCAAACCCACAGAACTTTCACCCACGGACGGGGCGTTTTTTTGGCGCGCAAGGTCTGTCTGGTGGACAGCACTTTTGAGATTTCTCAGTGTCTATCCTGGAGAAACGGTTCTCTCTGGCACACAGAGAGGGCTTTTTCGATCTGGCATGCAACAAACACCTATCTGATAAGCTGGAGTGCTTTAAATCTACTCAAGTCCGACCCTGAAGAAGGATTCGTGAAAGGCACACCCACGGCCCACAGCGTGGTCTTTTGTAGCTAATCGATGCGAACAATGTATATATAAATATGCTAAGCCAAACCCAGGCAGCCAATTGTCTGGCGGCCCTTCTGTTTTTTAAATTGTATGCAAGCGGGTCAAATGTGAACAGTAGCAAATCCCCCAAACCATCCAAAGCTGACACCTGGTCGATACAGGAAACACGACATGACCCACACCTCTGTACTTTTGCGATGAAAGTGGCGATTGGTCTCCAGCCGGAAGGTCACTTTCTGCGGATGTAGATGTCCCAAGCTGCTCTTGGCGCTCCCAACTGCGGTGCCACAGGTGCGCCACCCTTTCGAAGCGATTCGTTGACCTTCAGGGTCTCACGCCGGGAAAAGGAAACGCCCAAGTTCGCCCAGCAGATAGTCAGGAAAGGGCTGATGGGTCAGCCGGGTTGGTCCGGTCAAAGCAAATGGGAATATCATCACTACCCTTTCCTGAGGGGGGGATCCCCAAAATTGTAAGTTACATTTTCCTGTGCAGAGGGCCTCAAAAAATGTAATTACATTATTTTTGAGATGGCCTCAAAAAAAGTAACTTACATTTTTGAGGCTTTCTGGGTAATGACCTCAAACATGTAAGTTACATTTTTGAGGCTCTGTGGGGCGCTTACATTTTTTGAACCCCCCTCGAGTCTTTTTGCCTTTTTGTGAGTGTGCCTTTAATTGCTTTTGTGTGGCTTGCTGCTGAAAAGCAAACATGATGGAACAGCAGTTAGTCTGAGTTGGTCTGAGTCACCATCAACAAAGAAGAACAGCAACACACCCAAAGCAAACTCACATGTTCCCACTCAGGACCCATAAGGAAGGGGGCCAAAACCAAGCCGACACATAGCAAAGCTTAATCACTGCTTGTTGTTGCCCTGGCTGCTTGTCCCCTGCTAGAAAGCAAAGATGTGGGAACAGCAGTTGGTCTGAGTTCTCATCAACAAAGAAGAAAAGGAAACACCCCCGAAGCAAACTGCCAAGCAAAAACCAACATACATGTTCCCACTCAGGACCCCAAAGGAAGGCAACAAAGCGAAGCCCAAACATAGCAAAGGATCATCCACATGCTACACAACAAGGGAGAGGTCAATGTTTTGTCTCACACGGTTGCCTTTCTTTTGGAGGAGACCAAGGATAATCATGTTGCTCCCCTGTCTGCTTGTCCCCTGTTTGCATTTCGTGGCGTTACGTGCGTGTGATTTTCAGTATGCTAAAACGTAATTCATTCAGGGGGACACCCGAGTTCCTTGTAAATTCTGAAGGGTTGGAGATGTGGCAAACATGTAAGTTACAATTTGTGAGGTCAACCTTTCTCCCATAACCCAATTTTTCCTGCAAAATCTGAGGGTTTGGATGCATGGACCAATTGTAAATTATATTTTTTGAGGCTATTTTTCCTTGGTGGTGAGGCATCATTTTGTGTGCGCGTATAGTCAGGATTTTCTCTTGGCTTCATTGGCTGCGTCTGGAAGCTTGCAGCAAATTGCATCACCATGTTGTGAATCTGCACCATTATGCAGCATTTCAGCTGACATAAGCCAACGCCCACTAACGCTCTAGGTAGCCAACGCTATAGGTAGGGGGGTTTAAAAAATGTAAGTTCAGGCCTGCCAGGTTGTACGTTACCCCCCCCCACCCTGTCGATCTGCCGACGCACCCTGGGGGGGGTTGTAAAATGTAAGTAAGCACGTGCCAGGTCACAAGTTACATCATTTTTTTGAGCCCCCCCCTACCCTTTACCCATTTCGATGGTGTCTGGGGGGGGGTAAGTTACATTTTTTGACCCCCTGGGTCCCCACCCTAAAATGTAACTTATATTTTTGAGGTCCCCCCTCCCGGAACCGTCATAAGAGGGTAGGGATTGGAATATCCAAGACCGCAATTCTCACAACAATACCTACCATCACACTTCGACATTGGTTTTCAGTTAGACTCAATTGCCACGATGGGAAGGAAGGTGAGGTAACCGCAAGG